GAGAGTCTTAAAAACAAATAATTTTTTCTACATTTCAAAGAATTTTGTTTAGAATTCAAAACCTTGAGTAGAAATTACACGCAATAGACATTTCCGACAATCTAGTACAAAAATAACATTAGCTTTTTGCAAAAGACAATAAATAACACATATCACAACTCAATATTAAAAATGTCAACCATGTACATATATACGAGTATGTAGGTGTGGAAGAAGCGGGGTAATTCATACCCAAAATCCATAATTTATAAAAAAAGTTGAGATATGCATACTAATGAATCAATTAAACAAGTTTGGAATTCTTGTTATGAATAAAACAAAGTATTTTGTTTTCAGTTTTAATCTTTCGAAGAACGAATTGTTTTATTTGTTTAAAGTTGTTGTTAAAAGTTTTAGGAACTTTTAGAATAATTAGAACAGTTATTTTTAATTCGATTTTTATAATGTATAAAGTGAAAGTTCTACATATTTATTTTTCATGTTTAAATTCTAATTTTTACGAACATAGTTTTATTGAAGAATTTTATGTATTTCAGTCCACTGATAATTGCATTGGACTCGCCGTTAAATTATTACAATTAATGAAATAAAATTGAAGGCAATATTTAAGTGAATATTAAAGCACCAGCATTTGAAGTTCTGTTTTAACCCGCTCCTCCTTCATGATCGAGTGCAATAATAATCAATGCATCATAAATTATAATTTAAATTTTTTAAAATTAATAAAAATTTAAATTGATTGCGCATTGTTTTTAATTGGAATTCAAAGTACCATGCAAGCCGTGAATGTGTTTTTTTAGTCTGGTGGGAGCATGAAAAAATTGGAAAAATTTTTATTAACTGACATAATTTTCAAATGGTATGTCATATACACTGCCATGTATATTTCAATAAATGACAAAGTTCTAATACCAAATGTGCGTGAAAATATGAAGATGAGAATTTTGGAAATTTGTAGAACGAAACCGCAAATAAATTTAGCCTTTACCATATATAAAGGGACTCCAATATTTTGAAGCACATTTCGCAACATTAAATATAGAGCTTTGAAAATTGGCTTAAAATATGTGTCATCTGTCCACTTTATGGCATAGTCCATATATAAAGGTAGGAGATTTGCTTCTTAAACGATATGTGTGTTCATAGGGGACTTTGCAAAAAATTTCAATGCAGGTCAATGTTTCGAAGTAGGAGCCATATGTCGATTCCAGATATTGTTTTAGTGCTCCCATAATAATCAGGCATACATTTACATTTCACCATATTCAACAGACCACAAGCAATTTTGTGAAAAAGCCGTCAAAAATACTCTAGACTTACGAAGAGCTATTATATGATTAAAATTTGTATTTGAACTTTAACTCTTACTTGATCGACGGTCTCGAATTGATGTGGAACCATTGCCCAGAAATAAGAATAAGTTCGTCAATTTAAGAAGCGTTTTCTAATAAAAGTTCAAAAATACCCGAGAGAGATTTTAAAATCAACATAACATTCTGATTGGATATCTCAGTTATGCAAACTACATTTGTTGGATTGTGTATGCCCACGTTTAAATATTCAAACGAATTAATTATGTTTCATTCGGCCTTTTAATATCCCCCAACATTTGGATGAAACTTAAAAAATTGCAAAAAGTTTTACTAAAAAAATGCCGCAGATCTTTTAATATCCTTCACCATTTGGCATTTGGTACAGTTATATATTGGCTAAAAAAAATTGGACCCATATGATATACCAAAAATTCTACGGATCTAAAATACATCGGATAAAAATGTTGTCCGCCTGCTTTATTTCGTTCGGAATCCAGAGTGATTTACATGGATAAATCGACATAGAATCTTATGCTGATGAAGAATGGATGTACTTTGTGGCGTTTAAAATGCTTATTTCGAGGAGTTACAAACGAAATGCAAACTCAATAGACCCTCCATAGAGTAATAATATACGAGCGAGTTTAATCCTCTACTTGAATTCGAACGAGAATAATCCTGCGAGTAGAAAAATGGATATCGGGTATCGTCTCTCTAATAAGAGTAAATATCGCTCGGGGATTCCACTCTTGCCGAGTACTCGTTTAGCTTGTGTCACACCGTTGTTTTATTTGTATTTCAACCCACATCTGCAAGTGAAACGAAAACTAATACATGCGTTCTTACATACAGGGTGAGATGAAAAACCTGCAACTAACTTCAGACTGCTATCATTTCTAAACCACTCGTCCGACAGCTGTTAAAACTATGCCAGTGACAGCTCATTATATTGTTTACAAGCGTACAAAAGCATTTTGGTGAACATTTTCCAGAAAAAAATATTCGTGATGGAATTCAAGCGTGATAGTGTGATTTCTTTATATTTGACTGGAAAACCACAAGTGGCTATCGTTAGAGCATTTCAGAATTTGTGTCTCGTACCATCGCTCGTTGCAGTTACTGGTAGCGAAGCCCGACGTCAAGGAAGTGGATGGAAGAAAACAGCAACATCAGCAGAAATGATTCGAAAAGTAAAGAAGCGACTTGATCGAAACCCGCATCACAGTGGCCGAAAAATGGCTCGTGAGCTGAATATAGCGCAACATTCCATTCGCCAAATATTAAAAAATGAGCTCGGGGTAAAGCCATTGAAATTCCAAAAAGTGCAAGAACTTACACCGCAACAGAAAGAAAATAGACTCGAAATTGCTTCGCTTGGCCGAAAGTGGTGAATTGCCGAATTTGGTTTTCTCCGATGAGAAAACATTCGTTGTCCAGCAGTTTGTAAACAAACAAAATGATCGTGTTTACTTGCCGAAGAGGTCAGCTGAAAATATGCACCTTCGGTTGGCCTCCAGAATTCAAGCGCCGGCCATGGTGATGGTGTGGGTCGCCATAACAGCCGATGGTCGCTCTCCGCTCGTATCAATCGACCGTGGCATCAGAATAAATGCCGAATATTATCGCGAAAATATTCTGGAGGGTGTATTAAAGCCTAGAGCATGCAAACATTTTGTCCGAAGACATTGGATATTCCAACTGGACTCAGCACCTTCGCACTCAGCACCCGCCACCCAAGAATGGTTACAAAATGAGGTTCCCCGCTTCATTTCCAGCGCACAATGGCCACCAAAATCTCTGGATACCAATCCGTTGGACTATTGTGTCCGGAGTATTTTGAAAAGCAAGGTTGGCACTAAAAAATGCCAAAGTGTCGATCACCTTTTTTGGGATTGTGCCAAAATACCGCAGTGCAACATTCGGGCAGCTTGTGACGGTTTCATTGGCCGTTTGAAGGCCATAATTCGTGCCAAAGGTGACCAATTCAAACAAAACTAAATATATTCTAAAATTTGATGCTATTTTCGACATTTTTTGCTTTAATTCAATAAAATTTAAAAAAAATGTAAAAATTATGGCGTTTAACTTTGTTTTAGTTTTTTATCTCACCCTGTTTATGTGCAAACACGTACTCTTCAATCACTCATTGGCGTGTAAAATCAAACAAATTTGAGCTGATGACAATGATAAATTATATCCAAATCGATTAGAAAATATTCCTAGACCTTCATACCTACCTCTCTGGGTTCGCGTTGCTGGTCCGTAGTTTTAGTGTTTCATGTATGTTTCAAAGAACTATAATCCATATATTATTAACGAACTCATATAATTTGTCCCTGTCATGTAGTAAGAAATTCCTAAACGTCCTTTCTTAAAGCTAAACACTAAGAGCGATTTTTATTTCAACATTCATAATACTAACTCTTCTACCATATTGTCATATACCAAATTTACTGACATGCAAGCAAAATATTTGGTTTCTTACACTAAATACTACTGATTTCCAAGTCTACCTTTTTATCTAAAATCTACACACTAACGGTGCTTCCAATGCTAAAGTTCATAATTTCCTACACTGCATACCAATTTTTTTATATGCGTACACTATTAGCATACATTTCCAAAAAAATTGCCATTGTCTAACTGTAACCCTTTTAGCAAAATTCATATTCATTCAAGGCTACCCAACAACAGTGATCTCAATGCCAACATTTCAAATTTCCAGCTGCATCTGATAATATTCAATCACAAAATTAGTACTATTTAATAGAGTTCTTACACTTAGTAAACATTTCCATTCTTCCTCTTTACGTTTAACCTTACTTCCAATACATCATATTTATTCAAAATACCAAGATTTTAGTTCTATAAGTTTGCATAAACTAAATAGTATCATGAAGGTGTTTATTGCTTTTAAGTACTTCAAAAAAAAAAAAAAAATGTATCGAATTCCCGAAATAATTGAAAAATCTTTGCAATTTGCAATCTCATTGCATTTTAATACATTTTGTACACTTACAGATCGAATATCCAAAAAAAAATCCATTATCTCACCCCTACATACTAACGTTGACCCACACGCAAAATTTTAAAGATTCTTCACTTCTAAAATACATGTTTCGTTATGAATGCAGTATTCACTGAAATAGCTGTAGTCATGCCGCGTACCTCCCTTTTTATTCAAATCTAATGCGCAAATTCTTATTTTTTTATTTATAAGAAAAGTATCACCTTTCCTAGGGAACAACTAAACGAACACAATAATAAGTCTCATGGAATGTATCATCAAATGAATTTATGACCTCAATTTTGTATTACCCCAATGCAGACATAAATTTCATTTTTGGACGGGAATCTATGCGTCTTATCACCAATATACTCAACAAAATTACAAAATATCAAATTAACCAAAAAAAAAAAGAAGAAAAGACAGCCAAAAATGCATTCCTTTGTAAATGAAAATGACGGTGGTGGTGTTGCCTGAGACAACACAACCATCTCTTCGTGTGTTCGAGACATTCCCATACAGTGTTTTTTCGTTTCAATTTTCGAAAATATCCATTTATATCCATCCATATTTTATTTTTGTTTTTCATGGGGTGTCATATCGCTCCGCATTGTAATGTGAATCAAATTAAGGTGGAATTTTAATTTCATTCGGCGCTCTTTTTTTCTCACTATTTTTAGATGTCGTTGACAAAAAAAGATCCATCATTTTGTGTGGCGGCAAACGATCCACACCTGGTGAGTTTGGGCGGAGGACGTTTGAGTACGGCTGTAACAATACATAATATACCAATTGGTGAGTATGATATAGAATTCCATTTCATATTTCGAGACACGTGTCTAATTTCACGATGGCTAGTTTTCGGGCTGGCTAAATAGCCTGTGTGGTCGGATGGGACTTGTTATTGAAACTATGTTTAATTACTGATAAGAAAGAACACACTACACATAATTTTAAGCCGCCGGGCGCTGGTAGAATATGGTGTGTGTGTTTTTCAAAATCAGCCAAGTCCGAATTGGACATGTGTTTTTGTGTCAACGATTTGATTTGTGACCTGTGATAAGATTTTGTGATTGTGGATTTAATTTGTTTTCTTTTTTCGTTTAGGTGACACAACCATTGGCTCATCTACCCATTGTAATATTTCCCTAAACGGCAGCGGTATACGACCCATCCATTGTACCATCTATCGCAGTGAAAGTAATGAAGTTACCCTGGTACCGGAACGTGATGCCCGTATTCTGATTGATGGCAGCAAAATCGTGGAGGAAACCAATTTGACACAAGGTGCGATGATAACGATTGGCAAGTCATATTGTTTGCGTTTCAATAATCCCGCCGAGGCCCAACAAATACGCACAGCCATGGGTTCAAGTGAACGGATTTCAATGCCCCAAATGGATTTTAGTCAAAGAAATTCAAGTAAAAGTTCCTCGGAGAGTATGATGAGTGCTGGAGATCCAATTGAAATCGAAGAATTTTATGAGTCGAATATTCAACCGACAACAACAACAAGGCAGGTGGCGAATAACAACATCAATAATAACAACAAGAAAACCTTCTCAAGCTACAATAACTTACCCCCCATTGACATAAATGGTCTACAATGCCCCAAGGTGTTTACAGCCGATTTGGTTACCGTCAACCTACCGGCTGAAGATGTTTTGGGTAAAAAATACACCCCAAAATATGTGCAGAATATGGCTGAGGCCCAACGAAATGAAAAGAATCTACTAAATGCCCGAAGAAATTTCAATCAATCCAAACAGAATAACAACATTTATGATAATGTTCCCCTTACTTCCGTGTCAGCAGCTTCGACATCAAGGCAGGAACATGAAAGTTCCACAAAGGTCAAAAACAATGCCTATGATCGTTATCCCAAATTGGGTAATTTACAAATATTTCCCATGAACAGTATTAACAGCGAAATGAATACCTCAAGTCCGGTTCAAGCAAGTTCATCCAGTAACTCTACTACCATCACCACCACTCCCTTATCGATTTACAATCGCCTCCAAGATTCGAAAGGGGAGAGCTCGAGCAAAACCAAAAATGTTAGCAACAATGAAAAAGAGCATTTGGATGATATGTTGAAAATATGCACCGAATATACGGATAGGCAAAATCAAAATCCCACCGCAAACAATATCAACAATGTAAATTCTTCACCGATTGTACAGAATCGCATTATTACAAATGGTTCACTGCCTCGAGAACGTAAATCACCCTTTCAAAACAACGATATGCAACGATCATTTGAGGGAAGTTTCAATAATTTATCAGCTAATGGCGGCGGAGGGGGAGATAATCAACAGGAAAATGTCTACAATTCAAGTGGTTATGAAAATGTACGTGTACTGGGAGCCAAACGTGTTGAAATCAATGGCCAAGCAAATCAATCCATGGAAAATTATGAAAATGTGGTAGTGGGCAAATATGTACCACAGAGTCCACGTACAAAAATACGCACCACCTGTATGTCACCGAAAAAGGAACAATCGTTCAATGCAATATTTTCGCAGAAAGCTGAGCCACAGGCACAAACTCGTACAAACAACAATAGCCAACACAATAAACAAATGGAATATGATGAGCTATTAAGGACATTTGGTGAAAAGTTACAAATTGAAATGGAAGCCATTGAAGAATGTAGCCGTTATCAGGCACCACCCTCAACGTATGCTACTAGCAGTAGTAGTAATGCCAGCTCTGCTGCTCATTCTCCCAATCAAAATACAAATCGCGGCAGCAATCGTAATGTACACAATCTTAAGCTGAATTTAAGACTACCCAGCTCTCTGCAGAACTCTCCTAAACTTAACAAGAAACCAGCACCAGCTCCCAGGACTCTACTCAAGTCGTCCAACACTTCGGGCAGTTTGCCTCACTTGCTGGCAACAAATAAGGTAATGGATTTTTTTTATCATTTTTCAATATTAATTTGGGATTTTTATTTCATTTCAGAATGACATTGATCCATTTAAAGTCAAAGTCGAGTTGGAATTACAAGCCTTGCAGGACAAAATTCATCGTCTGGAAGCCCAACGTAATGCCACGCGCGTAATGGAAGAAACTCAACAAGCCAAATTGAAACAATCGATTGAAATGAAAGTTGATCAAATTAAAAAGTAAGATTCAAATTGACAGAGAGGTTTTCTGTCCTACAGAATAGGTTAAAGTAACAGCCTAGGTGGTAGTTTTTATATCTGCAGTGGTTTGTTAAACCTTTTTGAAAAGAACATAAATTTCGTATCCCAGGCAAAGTACATTCACAATACGAACCGCGGACTATTTACTTCATTCTACAAATATACAAAACAAAGTATAGGTGTGGATTTTTTGACCAGCGTATAATTGGCCATTTTGGCCATTTAAGACCAACGATTCATTGTTTTCATCCTAAAATATATACAAGAAGAACGAAATAGTGCAAACGTATGTCAGTTAATTACCTTAGTCATTTTAAACTTCGGTTCCATGCATCAAAGATACGATAGAAATTGTAACACCTAGTTTTAAAATTTAAGGGAATCGACAGATGTGGTACTAGTTCAGTCGATGACCAAAAATTTCGAAGCTAGGCGCTACAATCTTTATCACATATCTGATGAATGATCGGTTTCATGCATCGATAATTCAAAATTCCATCATAACATAAAACAAGAGATGAAAACAAAGTTTCTAGCTTCATTTCCCTCCTCATCCTTAAAGAACCAGATGTATTTAATATAAGTCCTCTTAAATTTTATAGTCATGAATCTCATGTAAGAGTAGATGTTGCTAAAAGAAAGAGGTCTACGAGTGTAATATCCAGCCAACTTGATAAAAGTGGTTTCCAGCAGAACTAATTTAGTTTGCCAATAAATTTTTGTTATTATAAGCTTATATGCATCCACGCAGAATACACTTGGAGATGCCGAGACTGTCATATACAATTTGAAGTTTTGGCCTGCAACCACTCATTCCTGTCTGGAATGTTAGTATAAACCTCTCTGAAGTATGGTGAAATCAACTTTTTGTTTCTTTCTTTGGGTAATTGTTCAAACCAACCTGTTCGTACACTTTACTATCCATTACGTTTGGGCCAACGTTGCCCCTATTGAGAGCAACTTGCATAAATGTTGTCTACTTAAAAAATCACCCAGTAATTGGAACCAAAACGTCGACTGCGAAAAAACGGCATACTGCCTCGTATATAACCATATTTTTCCAAATCTGATCAGTTTAAAGAAAAAAATCAATACTTCTATTTACAATATATTTGGGCCATTAGGTATGCATTTTAAAAAATACTACTGTCCTAAATTTTTGATAGGCAAATCTATTTTCAAATATTAGTCGGTAGGAGGGAAATATCTATATTTTTAATAAGTTACAAACCATCAGACATTATTCAGATAGGCATTGGAATTAGAAACCAATTTGTAAAAAAAATACTAGAAAAGCCCTTAGACCTTCCAGTTACCTTCAGAAATTGTGATTTCAAATATCTTACATCTTAAAACACATAAACCAAAAAGTACAGTTATACATTTCTCATCCATTTTTTCCAGATTAAAAAACATGCTAAAGGAGAAACCCGATAACGATTGTCTTAAAGATGAATTAAAAAATATTAGCGAATCGCTGGAGAATGATCGTAAGACATTCGAAGATTTAGAATTTCAGTATTTAGAAGAAGAATCGGAATGGCATGCCTATCATGAAGAGCTGAAGGCGGAAGCAAAACAAATGGCCGTCAAGTTGGGCGGAGAATCAAAACAGCAGCAACTGTCATCTCAAAACAAAGAGTGGCAAACACTTTCGAAAGATTTCAAACCAAAAACAGCTGAACGTAGTAAAGCCAAAAATCACAATAACACAATGGATGAGAGTCTAAACAAACCATATGATATCGGTGAAGCAATTGGAATAATGTCCCAGTCTCTATTTGGTTCGGCGGAAATGCTATGCCCACGGCGGCACACGGAAGATGTAATGTCACGTAGTGTAAATGAAAATATGTTTTTCAATAATAAAATCGAATTACCTTGTGGCGGTGGTAGCAATGGTAATGGCATGGCAAATACCAGCACACCCAAACGTCCTCAACTACAAATCGTCAATATCGATGATGAGTGTTTACAAGAAACACCCAAGCGAGAAGTTTCACAAGCCATTGAAGCATTCAGTAGCAGTGCGGTACGTTTTAATTTATCTTTGGATACGGATGGATTTGAAGTAAATCCTCTGGAGAAGAGGGTACCATCACAAGATGACATCGATCGCATAACGAAAGTTACATCCGATGCTCCAATATCGCACAATAATCAAGGAGCAAGTACGAAAATTTTCGATTCGATTAAAGAAATCGAACGGAATCGTCAATTGTTGTTAGCACAACAGGGTAAGTTGAGAGATATATTCCGATATCCGGTATCAAATTCTGTGGTATATTATACAGGGATGTCAGAGCCGCACTCGAATCCTGCAGTCATTTTCTGTTATTATTTCGCTTTTATATACCATAAGCATCACAATATTAAGGCTTCGGTTCGTAGATATTATCAATCGTCCTGACTGTAATTTGTCTCCACCATAGCGTGGAGGGTATGTCAAGTTTATCATTCCGTTTGTAACACCTCGAAATATACATTTTTTATCCGACAAATTGTATATTCTGGATCGGCACGTTGATTTAGCGTTGTCCGTCCGTCTGTGGAAATCGGCTTAGCTTCCGCATGAAATTAAGTTGGTTGATAAAACTTTAATCATGTGTATTTTTTTGTCTGCATGATTTTTGGAAATGAAAATGACCATATAGGTCCACGTTTTTGTATAGCGCCATAAAACTGAATCGTCATACTGTTTTCCAGCTTTGCCCGCTCATTTGAAGTATAAATAACATATTTCGGATGTGAAAATCATATTCGGCTATATCAAATAAACGATTTCGAAACTAAAGTTTTAAAACATTTTGAATTTAAAAAAAAATTAAATATATTATACAGTTAAGAGTTGCATTTAGCCGATCTTTCAACGTATAAATCTATGAATTGACCTCCAGCCCCAGAACACAGTTTTATAACGACTCTCGCTATTTAATTTAAATATCTGAAGTTGCCCATCAAATTACTTCACATCCTCCAACAAAACTGTGCTCAAAGCCCATAACCCTGAAAATCTTTATAGGTGTATAATTACCATGTTAATAAAAGCTAATTTAAAAGTAAATTGTTATTCAATAACCCTTGTTGTAGTTTTGTAGATGTTTCTTTGTACTCATTCATTGTTCATATCAATTATTATAATTAACAACTTGTCGGTTTTTGTCTCTTACCCTCTATAGGTCACCATGTTATTGAACATGAACGGCAAAAGATGAACGACCTGAAGAAACGCAGCCACAGTGAAGCACGTGCTCAATATCTATCTATGGTCAATAGGAAGAGCGATGAGTAAGTAATTTTCCCATATTTGCATAGTATAATTATTGCTGTTTAGAAAATATCACCACCGTCGCCACTTGGTATTTTGAAAAAATCAATGGGGTGTTCAATAGAAAAAGTCGTGACCGGCAATGCCAAAGTAATAATTTTTATTTTCGGTTTATTGGTGTCAAACTTGTCTTGTGCCATTATTGTAGCTTTGATCAATTGTACGAGTATGAGTGATGGACATTGACAAGAACAACACTCTATCCAATAATCAAATTAATTCATTCAGAGGAGGGACCCCAAAAGAGTCATGCAAACGGCATTCAATTAGCAGAGATCTAATGTTTGCCTATTCGATTGTGTTTTGTTTACATTGTGTGTCTGTGGCATCGATTTATATGCAAACAAACAATCAGTTTGTATTGTTTGCATTCCGATTAAGATTAACAATTAACATACATACATACATACAAATTTTTTCTTCTTATTCGATCGCGATCAATATGTCCAAAAAAAAAGAGAGAGACTCTGAGTGCTTTACACAATGTTTGATAAGTTGGATTTGTTTGGAAATATGAGTGATTTCTAAAGTATTTGTGCACAGACAATTTTGAGAAATCGAACAAAATCGATATTGAAAAAAGGCTAATTACCTATAGTCCCTCCTTATCTTCTATTTTTTTAAAGGTTCCATCCATAACATGCAATTTTTCCCACTACAGTTTGATACTTTGGTTCCTTAATACGTAGCATATTTCTTTGCAAACTAACTTTTAATACTGACTGATTCACTGTAGAGAATTTGAGTATTTTGACAATTTCAGACCCAATGTCCACCGAATTGTATTTAATTGGCATTTTGAAAACTCTCCGTACTAGCTGCATTTTTCCGCAGATAATGACTCGTTGCACGATTTGTATTGTATTGAATCTATTTATCTGAATTAGTGTGTTGGAGCTTCCTTTAAGCTGCGTTAGTCTGGAAAATTAGTATCAGAATAGTTTACTGCGAAAAAAAAAATGTATAGCTAATAACGACTAGGGATTTCAAATTTGATTTTACTAACTAGACCAATCTCTTTAACAATTTATAAAATATTAATGGGATTCGAAAGTAAGTACAAATTTAGCTTTTAAGGAGCTTAAAATATTAATTTGGACTAGGACAATTCTTTTTTTACTGCTCATAGAGCCAAAATGGCCTTCACAATTTTTTTTATTAAAAACTTTGTTTGGCTTCAAATCTTGCATCAGTTTTATTCGTCGAATAACAGAGGCCCAATTCTCATGCTACCAAAAGTCTATATTTTCTTAAATTTCTCTTTAACATTGAGAATTTTTAAATATACAGAGTGGGATGAAAAAACTGCAACCAACTTCAGACTTCTCTCATTTCTAAGCCACTCGTCTGACAGCTGTTAAAATTATTCCAGAGACAGCTCATTATATTGTTTACAAGCGTACAAAAGCATTTTGGTGAGAATTTCCCAGAAAAAAGTTATTCGTGAAGGAATTCAAGAGTGATTGTGTAATTTCTTAATTTTTGGCTGGAAAACCACAAGTGACTATCGTTAGACCACTCCAGCATTTAAATGTAAATAATTCTTTTGTGTCTCATACCATCACTCGTCACCGTGATACTGGTAGTGTAGCCCGACGTCAAGGAAGTAGACGGAAGAAAACAGCAACACCAGCAGAAATGGTTCGAAAAGTAAAGAAGCGACTTGATCGAAACCAGCGTCGCAGTGTCCGAAAATGGCTCGTGAACTGAACATATCGCAATATTCCATTCGTAAAATATTGAAAAATGAGCTCGGGGTAAAGCCATTGGAATTCCAAAAAGTGCAAGATCTTACGCCGCAACAGAATGAAAATAGGCTCAAAAGAGCTAAAGAGTTGCTTCGTTTGGCCGATAGTGGTGAACTGCCGAATTTGGTTTTCTCCGATGAGAAAACATTCGTTATCCATCTGTTTGTAAACAAACAAAACAATCGTGTTTACTTGCCAAAGAGGTCAGCTGAAAATGTGCACCTTCGATGATGTAGACCGCTGGTAGCTCTCCGCTCGTATTATTCAAACGTGGCATCAGAATAAATGCCGAAAATTATCGCGAAAATATTCTGAAGGGTGTATTAAAGCTTTGGGCACGCAAACATTTTGGCCGCAGATCTTGGACATTGGTTACAAAATGAGGCTCGTCGCTTCATTTCCAGCGCACAATGGCTAACAAAATCTCCGGATACCAATCCGTTGGACTATTGTGTCTGGAGTATTTTGACAAGAAAGGTTGGCACTAAAAAATACTAAAGTGTCAATCACCTCAAGCAAGCGCTTCGCTGGGAATGGGCCAAAATACCGCAGAGCAACATTCGGGCAGCGTGTGACGATTTCATTGGCCGTTTCAAGGCCCTAATTCGTGCCAAAGGTGACCAATTCGAACAAATCTAAAGTATTTTAAAATTTGATGATATTTCCGACATTTTTTGCTTTTATTCAATAAAATTAAAAAAAAAATGTAAATATTATGGCGTGTGACTTTGTTGTAGTTTTTTTATCTCACTTTGTAGACTTAAGAGAAAGAAACTAAATTTTACATTACTCCCGCCAATGAAGGCAAAATTTTATTTTCGAAATTACTCATATGCATATATGTTTCTCCTATATAGTTTATTTTATTTGTTCTCTGTTTACTATTGCTCTTTATTGTTTTTATTTATTTGTTTTTTTGTCAATACTCATAAGATTCAAATGACTTGACAGGCCAGACTCAGCTTAGCTGAATTCCAAACTGCCATTTTTCATAAGCTTAGAAACAGTTTGACAGGGGATAGCGACCCTCACCTTAAAAGGTTTAGCGGCAAAATCAGCGTGAATTTAAATTTATTTTCGACAAGCTGAATACTGCCTGCATGAAAACAAAAAAAAAAATAAAATAAAAAATACTCAACAAAATATGAAATACAAAAAAGCTCTGAGCAAAATGCAAAGATAAACAAGTGTTATCGTTCTTATCAGTGGAAATTGTATTGAAAAAGAGCAGTTCTATAATTGTCACCACCATTGGCGCATACTGACCGAATTCCTGATATAACTCAACCGCTGCTAACGTTTAGAGATATTCGGCTTTTATTTTTTTATTTAGTATTGTTTTTATTTTGCTGAATGAAACAATTGTTGCTTCTTACTTACAATCGGTGTTGGGTCGTTATTTTTTTTTTCAATTAACTGTGAGACGACGCGTCTGAAAATTACTCATTAAATACGTTCGCTGCAAAAATAACCTCGTCGTCAGAGCCAATTACAGTGTTCGGAATGTATAACACCTCTCACAATTCTTTTATTCCATATTGATCGATTGAACGGGTATTTTACTACGTCTGTATGTTCGTCCATCGATGATACATTCTTTGCACCGCGTCTAAAACAATTCAAAATATTGAAAAGCAAAAAAAAAAAAAAAATACCGAGAACTATGAATTCATTAAGATCAACGTTTTGCTCTTGGTACGCAAAAACACATGAATGTATACATTTTTTGCTTTTATATTTTTCTCTTTTTTTAATTGCATTTGTTTTTACCTTTGTTTATATTTGTTTGTTTCTTTCTTTTTTTGAATATTTAAAGTTTATGCGATTTTGTGTGTGTATTTATTTTTATTGTTTTTGCTCATTTTCAGCTGCATGACTAATGGCGAGGAATCTCAAACGGATTTACCTCTTCAGCAGAAACATCACCAGCAGCAGCAACAACAAGAGCAGCACCCTATGCTGGATAAGGAAAATCATCGACCAGCTGTAGAAAGAAATAACAGTAAAGCGAAATCGAATAAGACATCGCAGGAGGATGGAGATTCATCAAATCAGGTAAATATTAAGGGGTAGCAGTTGTTGGAATTTTATTCTTAGATTAAAGAACATTTGTGCATTCAATTTCTGAAATCATGCTATCTTGTGCTGAAACCAAATTCAAACATTTTTGTCTAGTGCTTGATCGGTCTGAAACATATGCCACGTGGTGGTTGTCTCAAGCATAATCTCGTTATTTAATAAGGTAACCTTAAGTAAGTAATTTTGGTGATTTAGGGATTCAAGGATTCTTAATGGTTGGTTATAATATTACAATTATGGCACACTTAGTCAGCTCACGCACGTTTCGTGCTTTGTTACTCTGTTAAAACAACGATTCGTCGTTCGTCGTTCGCCATTCGCAGGAATTAGGTTTCTGTAACTCAACAACATGAAACAAATTGGGAAGGACTAGGGGGTGAAACCTTTCAATATACAAATGTTGTAAGAATTGAAGCCGAACGACTTGAGGCAACGTATAATTTTTTGTGAATAGATTCCAAGATTCCGGTTGTCCGAAGATCCACCTTTTTTTTTTCGAAAAATTGTGTCCAGCGACGCAGCTTAGTTGGCTTAATGGGGACGTAAAATAAGCAAAATTGTCGATCAGCCAGATGCATTGCAAAATCTTCCAATGCATTCAGAAGGAGACGGCTCCTGGGCTGGTGGCATCAATGGAAATGTATCTGTGAATGGCGAAATGATATCCAACGATTGTTTTTTGTCCAAAATGCAAGAACTTGACTTACATAACATGCGACTTCAACAATACGATGCCACACAGCAGGCGTAACAATTGACTCATTAAGAGGCGACTTCCCCATATAATGGTACCTTCCGATTTCCGGCGTTCTGTCGACTCAAGCTACATGTTTCAATGGAATTTTCTGAAATGATTATTAATAATTGGAGAAATGATCTCTGAAAAATGCTTTCCGTAGGAACAGAATTTATGATTACGTTGAATATGGATATAGGTTATCACGTGGTCGGTAATGCCGAACTACAGTATTTGTTTACTTGTGTTACTAATTTTTTTATGAGTGATGTGTAGTTGTTATGTTCCAGCTGTTGGGGAAACCCACCCCATTCATAATAGTTTATAGAATATTATTATGTTTACACAAACGTTTTTTTTTTTTTTTTGACAAACAACGTCAGTAGCCCACAATAACTACGAAACACACATTTTTTGTGCGTCAATATTTTGTCGGGCATATATAAGGTTTTTTTTATATATAAAGCATTCTAATTAAAACTTATTTTTTATATATAGATACTTATATAGATATTTACATTTTTATATCTATACTTGGAATTCGTCCTGAATGGTTTTGAGAAAGTAAAAAGAGGTCACAAGTATTCTATTTTGTTTTATGAGTTCAAAATTTTTTTTCCAGTTTGGTTTATCGAACAGCTACTTTACTCATAATTTTAGAATCATATGTAAAGTAACTTTCCCATTTAAAGAAAGGACTTACAAAATTTTTAGATTGAATCATTAAAAGTTTTTAGCCAAAACGATATATTTATAGGCGGAGGTTTGGGGAAAAAGCACATAATATACAGTAAAATCTTAATTTGAATTGATGGTATTGCCCATATAATTTAGAGTTTAAAAATTATTTCATGCGATGGTACGTCCGATCAGTCCAATGTTGACTCTTTCTAATATTTCGGGCAGTGTCTCACGAATAAATGCTTCAATGTTGTCTTCCAATAAGTCAATTGAAGCGGGCTCGTCTGTATAGACATGATCATTAACATACAGAGTGTGATAAAAAACTGCAACAAAGTTAAACACCATAATTTTTACATTTTTTGTTGGAAATAGCATCAAATTTTAAAATAAGCTGAGATTTAAACCGTCACACGCTGTCCGAATGTTGCTCTGCCGTATTTTGGCCCATTACCGTCGAAGCGCTTGCTTGAGGTGATCGACACTTTGGTATTTTTTAGTGCCAACCATGCTTTCCAAAATACTCCAATCCACAATAGTCCAACGGATTGATATCCGGAGATTTTGGTGGCCATTGTGCGCTGGCAATGAAGCGAGGAACCTCATTTTGTAAAAAATTCTTGGGTGGCGCGTGCTGTTGGAATGTCCAAGGTCTGCGGCCAAAATGTTTGCGTGCCCAAGGCTTTAATACACCCTCCAGAATATTTTCGCGATAATATTCGGTATTTATTCTGATGCCAGGGACCGTCGGGTGTTATTACGGCCCACACCATCACCGTGGCCGTCGCTTGAGTTCTGGTGGCCTGAACTGAAGGTGCCCATTTCATGCACAATCATTTTGTTTGTTTACAAACCGCTGGACAACGAATGTTTTCTCATCGGAGAAAACCAAAATCGTCAGTTCATCACTTTCGGTTTAGCTCTTTTGAGTCTATTTTCTTTCTGTAGCGGTGTAAGTTCTTGCACTTTCCAATGAAATCCCAATGGCTTTACCCCGAACTCATTTTTCAATATTTGCCGAATGGAATATTGCGATATGTTCAGCTCACGAGCCATTTTTCGGCCACTGCGACACGGGTTTCGATCAAGTCGCTTCTTTACTTTTGGTACCGTTTCTGCTGATATTGCTGTTTTCTTCCGTCCATTTCCTTGACGTCGGGCTACGCTACCAGTATCACGGTAACAGGTGATGGAATATTTGGACTAGTGGCTTAGAAATGGCAGCAGTCTGAAGTTGGTTGCAGTTTTTTCATCTCACTCTGTATATATAAACTACATTTATTCTACATTTAACTAATTTGTGTAGCGCCAAAAAGTATGTTAAAAAAACTACAATTTCTCAGCAACATTTTTGAATCCTCAGCTCATAACTTTTAATTTCACGTTTATGGGATGATATTGATGCTCTAATTTAACTTTAAATAAAGGAGAAACTCCGAGAACGAGTTATGTCCAATTTCCCATTGTATTTTGTCCAACCTCGGAGAAACTCCGAAGACGTGCTATTTGTCCAACCACTTTTATTAGAATCCAACACAAAAATGTTGATAGAGTAAAATGAAAAAAAAAAATTAAAATGCTTTTGAAAATACCTGAGAAACATACACAAAAATACATTAGTACCGGAAATACATACATTCCTAAATACGTAATTTGTAAAAAAAATGCAAATAAATCTATCAGCACAAGACTCGCCTACAAGGGATTTCCAAACAAAACAAACAATTCAATTCCGGGGAAAATTCAATTCGCATCATAAGATTTTGTCCATTGTGTCAAAATATTTTTTTATTGTTATTGTGGTCTTTTTTTGTGATAAACGTCAAAAGCATTAACAGCTGTACCATGTGATGTTTTTACCACAACTCCTCCTACATGCAAATTATTTTCCCAGTAAAAATCGCTTTTCCCTTTATGGCAAAAAAAAAATCGTTGGTCTTCTCCACAGTTCAACGGCATGGTACGATTTTAACAAAAAATGTATAAAAATTGTTTATTTTTGTTGTTTCTTTTTGTTTTGTTCTTTTTTAATCAATGAATTAAATTGTTATTTATTTGTTGAAAGTGGGAAATGGGTATTTTTCTGACGTGTTTTTTTTTCTTGTGTCGGGGGGATGGATGTGAATAAATTTCCGATAGGGCAAATATGTTTTCCGGCAATTTAAAAAATGCGTTGAATATTTTCAAACAAATACGCTACATTGGGTAATTAAGTTCATAGTATTGGATATGTAATTATATGGGCGGAAAATCTCTAACAAATTTGTCCAGTAAGAGACGTATTTGAACGTCAAGGAAATGGGTTATAGATTTTTGTTTATTTTTTTTAGAAAATCACATTATTTGCACAACTCCTATTTGAGGAGTTTACGTAGTTAACGGAAGCTCTGTTTTGTTGTTTTAAGTGTTAAATATTTATCCATCAATTTCTGAAGTGTATGACAGTCAAACTTTAATACTTTTTTCTACGTAATATCTTTATTGGCCAAGGACTTAAATACCGATCAATCATTCGGCAAAACTATTATTTGTTACTATCAAAATCTAGTTCAGAGGCGTTGCATTAAAAGCAAAGCTATTTTGGGAAATTCAGCAGAATTGCATGAACTTATTAAAAATACCTTTTATGGGTAAAAAGTCATCTATATATGACTCCTCAAGAGAACTTCTATAGATGTCCCTTTAAGGGGGTTTCTATAGAATAGATGTCCCTTTAAGGGGGTTTCTATAGAATAGATGTCCCCTTAAGGGGGCGCACTCAGCATGCGCCACCCAAGAATGCCTACAAAATGAGGTTTCTCGCTTCATTTCCAGCGCACAATGGCCACCAAAATCTTCGGATACCAATCCATTGGACTATTGTGGCTGGAGTATTTTTGAAAGCAAGGGTGGCAATAAAAAATATCACAGTGTCGGTCAACTCAAGCAAGCTCTTCGCCGAGAATGGGCCAAAATACCGCAGAGCAACTTTCCGCCAGCGTGTGACGGTTTCGTTGGCCGTTTGAAGGACAGAATTCGTGCCAAAGGTGGCCAATTCGAACAAATCTAAACTTATTTTAAAACTTGATGCTATTTCCGACATTTTTTGCTTTCATTCAGTAAAATGTAAAAAAATGTAAACATTATAGCGCTTGACTTTGTTGCAGTTTTTTTATCTTACCCTGTATGGGGAAGACCCCTTAAGAGGGCTTTTATAAAATACTATAAAAATCGCCTAGGCAGTTTTTGAAGAAATGTTCTACAAAATAACACCATTATTGCCTTAGTAGTCCTTGAGGAAATTTTCTATAACAGTACATACAGAAGAGCCCCAAACAGTCGTTGTAACCCCAGAGAACGCCCTCTTTTTTTCTCACACTACAATTAGTCACTATCCGATGAAAGTACTTAAGAATCCACCGTAATTAGCATTTGGAATATTAAATCGTGCACAGATACACACACACAAACATCGAATCTACCACATTATTATCTTCACTTCATCATCTTGTAAATCGCGTGGTGTGTGAATCTGTTTCTCTGCATGTGTGTTCCCAATCTATCTGCAATTGGATCGAAC